CCTTCACCTGTCTGTTTGATTTGGAGTCCTAGGAAGTAATTCAACTCTCCTACCATATTTATTTCAATAGTGTGAGACATAGAATCTAAAAAAGATTGTAAAAGGTTAGCACAGGTAGAACCAAAAACAATATCATCAACATATATCTGTACAATAATGATATGGTTATTTATTCTTCTGACAAATAGAGTTCTGTCTGCCTCTCCTCTGTTAAACTGTATTTCAAGTAAGAAGTCAGTGAGTCTTTGATACCAAGCTCTAGGAGCTTGTTTAAGACCATACAGAGCCTTCTAAAGCTTGAAAACATGATTAGGCTAGGCAGAATCTTCAAAACCCTTGGGCTGCTCTACATATGCTTCTTCATTTAAAACACCATATAGAAATGCACTTTTGATATCCATCTGATACAATTTGATTTTAAGAAAACAGGCTATAGCAAGAAGTAACCTAATAGATTCAATTCTAGCTACTGGAGCAAAGGTTTCATCAAAATCTATACATTCAATCAGAGTATAACCTTGTGCTACTAACCTAGCCTTATTTCTAACAACTGTACCTTTTTCATCAGTTTTGTTTTTGAAGATCCACTTGGTTCCTATCGCATTTACATGACTTGGTCTGGGAACTAAGTACCAAACATCATTCCTGATGAAATGATTCAGCTCTTCATGCATTGCATTAATCCTAAATTCATCATTCAGAGCTTCTGCAATATTCCTTGGTTCAACTGAAGACACAAAGCAAGTAGATCCAGTTAGTGCACATTCAGAAGATAAATTTGTAAATCTTACCATATCTCTGTAATTCACTCTCTCTTTTCTTCTGGTCCTTATCCCTTCAAAGATATCTCCCACAACTTGAGTAGATGAGTGATTTTTCTGGATTCTACTTGATGGTTCCCTTATGCAGACATCATGAGTTGGCTGCATTTCAGCTTCCGTGCTCTCCGTAGGAAATATTGAGTCAGATGTGGTAACACTTGGCTCAACACCCTCTTCTCTTGATACCGGATTGTGTATATTTTGAGCATCTGTGTCAGTAGTGTCTCCTCCGGTTGTTTCTCCTTCAGCAATCAGGTCATCAACTTCATCTTCAGCTGTTTTACTGCGGAGATCAGCAAAATCATCAAATACCACATTTACAGATTCAATAATGGTTCGAGTTCTTAAGTTAAATACTCTATACACATGACTGTTATTAGAGTATCCCACAAATAAACTCAAATTACTTTTTGAATCAAATTTAGAAAGATGATCTCTATCATTTAGGACACAACAAACACATCCAAACACATGCATGTATTCTAGATCTGATTTTTCTCTTAAAAATACACCAAAGTATATCTCGAAAAATCATCAACACACACAAATGCAAATTTTTTACCACCTAGGCTTTCTATCTCTATAGGACCCATAGGGTTCATATGTACAAGTTCAAAACAAATGGTGGTACCAACGCGTTGTAACACTTTTTGTGGTACTCTAGATTGCTTTCCCTTCTGACACATTCCGTATATAGGAATGTCCTTGATCTTGAGATCTGGAATTCCTCTTATGGCATTGTATTTGTTGAGCAGCTTCAGATTTTTGAAGTTTGTGTGCCCTAGTTTGTGGTGCCACAACTCTACTTCACTTACTCTTGAGCTCTTGCGTGAGATGGTGTCACCTGTTTGATAACAATTATCCATTGATCTGGAACCTGTCAGTACACAATGATTTTGATTATCAAACACAGAACAACAATATTTATCAAATTACACACGTAGATCATCATCACACAATTGACTAAGACTGATGAGATTTGACCCTAATCCTTCAACATGTAAGACATTTGAAAGTTTTGGAAGTCCCTCAATACTGAGTGTTCCACGTCCAACCACTTTGCCTTTAGCTCCTCCTCCATAGGTTACACGTCCTCCATTGAGTGTATGGTAGTTTGATAGAAATTCTTTTGTTCCAGTCATGTGCCTAGAGCATCCACTATCAAAGTACCATGAACCTGAAATGTTAGCATTTAAAGAAGTGTATATTGCTTTGCACAAAAGTTTACCTTTGGGAGTCCATATTCTACACTATTTTTTGGTAAATTCTACCTTTTTCTTTGAGGTGTTCACTGGAGTGCTGTGACTCATTATGTACAACATTTTGTCACTACTGAGTTTTTCACAAAATGGGCGAATATGTCCTGGTGAGAAACTGTAATGACAAATGTATCCCCTTATTCTGGATTCTGGAGTGGAGACTGTGGAATTTCTGCATTCTTTTCCATTTGAACCCTTCTTTTTTACAAAGACAATTTCCTTCTTCTTTGCTGGCTTGTGTTTCTTCACTTGTTTTTTGAACCCTAAACCTTCATTTTTGTTGTACTTCTCCAGTGACACAATCTCTTCGAGTTTAGTTGTGTCGGTATTCATCTTCTTGATTGTTAGAGTTGCTTCTTTGAGTTCATCTTCCACCTTTGCCAGTTCAAGATCCTTCTTGGTGATTCCAACCTCCAAATGTGTGATTGTTTCTTTAAGGGAAGAGTTTTCCTTGTTGGCTGCATCTAGAGCTTGAGTCTTCTTCTCCAGGTCAATAACCAATTTTTTACACATTTCTTCCTCATCACTAACTGCTTCATTACTGGATTCTGCTGCATTCAAAGAAATAGAGTTTAAACATGTATAATGATCAGTATTTAACTCAGAAATTTCAGTTACTGAAAGTGTTTCAGAAAGTGTTGCAGCATCTAGAGAAACTCCTTGTGATATATCTGGCAGAAATAGCTTGTTTAGTGGATTGCTGTTCCTCTGTCTGTTCAGGTTGCTCTTCCTCCTCATCACTGACAGCACAAATCAAACTCATTCATCTTCTTCTCAAGGTATTTGCACACTCATTAGCATAATGTCCAAATCCTGAACAAGCCCTGTATTTAATATAATCCAAGTTAGGTGGTTCAGAATTTGAACGAACAAATGAAGAATTTTTTAAAGTGTTCTGAGAAGATGTTTGAGGAAATGTTCTCTGTGGAGTAGATCTGTTCCGGGGCTGAGTTTGTCGATTTTGTGGAGAGCCATCTGGAAATAGCTGTCTGGGCTTGATTCCACTTCGCATGTATGCCCTATTGAATTTCTGAATTTGGAATGCAACATTGTTGAGACATTCCTCTGCATCATCATCATATTCCGGAGCAACATCTTCCTTCTCTAATTCTGCCTGGAGTGCATTTGAGATAGCCTTTCCTTTCTCCTTTCTTTGATCTTCAAAGTTCATCTCTCTAGACTTTAGACTACCAATTAATTCGTCCAGCCGTAGAGATGATGTATCTTTAGCCTCCTCAATAGCAGTAACCGTCATGCTGAACCTTTCTGAAAGAGTTCTCAATACCTTATTCACCAGTGTCTCGTTGCTCAAGGGACCACCTAAGGATTTAAATTCATTAGCTAAATCAATCAATTTCTCATTGTACTGAGAAATTGTTTCAGTTTCCTCCATTCTCAGTCTCTCAAATTTGGAAGAGAGTAATCTGAGCTTGGTTCTTCTGACACTATCTGATCCCTCACAATGTAGCTGAAGAACTTCCCAAGCATCCTTTGCAGAAGTGCATACTGAGATCAATTTAAATATAGTTAAATCTACTGAATTTTAAATTGCCTTTAACGCCTTTGAGTTTTGGTTAGCATTTGATAGATCGTCTGGTGTCCACCGTAATTCTGGTGTTGGAAACACATCCCCATCCGCATCTGTGATAGTTGGTGGCTTCCATCCAGTGAGAATAGATCTCCAGGCTCTCTCATCAATGGCTTTGATGTACGCCCTCATCTTGACTTTCCAGTAGGTGTAGTTTGTGCCGTCGAGCACAGGAGGTCGCATAGAAGCAGTCATTTGAGTATCCATCACGAATTCGTTTCTGAAAAAGAAAATAGGAACAAACACTTAGTATACGTCAAGTGTTGGCTCTTGATGCCAATTGAAAGAATTTATGGTCCCGAATTCGTTTAATACAGAGATGTTATCTTAAGTGTTATGACACTTGAACAAACATGCAGCGGAAATATACAGATAAAAGAACAATACTCAGAATTAAAAATGTTCACAAGTAAAGACTTGTGAACTTGCCCTTTACAGGACGGAAAAAATATATTAAAATCAGTATTCCAAGAATACAAACAGAAGAGGTGCAAAAACTTCTTCCTTATGAATGAATCATTTTCATGATCATTCTTACAATCAAATCTAGATACTAAAAGAAAAATATTAAAAATTCTAGATTTCAAAGAATGTACTCATAAGGAGTACGTAAAGAACTTATGAATGAATCACTATCTTGATCATTCTTACAACCAAGTCTAGAAACATATATACTAAACAATCTAGACTACAAAGAATGTACTTATGAGAAATACGTAAAGAATGTACTCATGAGGAGTACGTAAAGATTGTACTCATAAAGAGTATAAACAACCGATTCTAAAACCACACTAAAACACTCATGTATTCTTTTCAGCTCTCGGTTTTTATTTCATAGAATCGATCAATTTCCTTGAGTATTGAAATCGGTATTTATAGACATTTCAAGCTTCCACTCCTCAGCCCATGATCTGCAAGAAAACCAACCACAAGAGCACTCAAGAAAATGGGTTAGTGGGTTAGTTTAAGGAGTTAGAATAATATTCACAATTAAACCCACTTAAGCACTACTTAGCCCACTAAGCACTATACTTAACCCACTAAGCACTATACTTAACCCACTAAGCACTACTTATTCCATAACTAAAATTTAGTTAGAAAATAAGAAAGTTAAAAATAAAATTTGGAAATAATCCACGTGTTTCAAACTCCCCCTTTTTAACTTTCTGATCAAAACTAAATTTTAGCTTAACCCCCCCTGAGTCATTGCTTGAACTCTCCCTGAATATGATAACCAATATAGCAAATAACAAAACAGAAGTTCACAGGAAAAATAACAAACAGAAAAAATAACAAACTGAACAAAAATAAATATTGTTCATAAAAATAACTTTAGAGCAGAATATCCAAAGTCTTCTCAGTATCAGCTGCTGTTCCTCCATCACTAGCACTGGATCCACTGCTTTCCTCTGCTTCTTGAGCTTCACCCTCATTCTTTGCTCCTTCTTCATTAACACCTTGCTCTCTGTCTCTGGCATCCAAGGGATGAGAAGTCCCTGCTTCAACTTTATGACTAGCTTTTTCTCCCCCTTTTTGATCAGAAAGAGCCTTTTGGAGCATTGCCACCATGGACTGGTGATAAGTAATCTGAGCTAGAGAGTGAGTAAGTTGTTGTAACAAAAGATCTCTAGGAACAGAAACAAGAATGTCAGGAATGTTGTCAACATGAGGAGCAACACTTTCAGTACCAAGCTTATTTTGATCTGATTCAGTTGAGAGAAAATTATCTCCATTCTAGGGAAGATCTTGGACATGAGGAGCTTTTAGAAAATTTTGAGAAACAGTGATCATGCCAAGTGGAGTGTGAAGATATTCTGATTCAGCTTGGCTGAAATTTAGAGAAAGCAGAATGAAGTAGATGAGAGAGGGATTTAAAACGATTGCCAGAAAGAGTCTTACAAACTTCAGTAAAATCACCATAATTATCCTCATCAATCACAGTAGGAGTTTGTAAATGAGAGTTGATAATTTTGGGAGTAAAGGAGAAAATGGAATTTCGCACAAAAAATTTTGCCAAAGTTTGGAGAATTTTTCTTTAAAAAAAATTTGTAAATTGACATAAAAACAGGCAACCTCAACTAGACTAAGGATTTTTCTTTGATCAAGAAAAGCAGTGATCCTATGTCTATCAAACTCATCTTTGGAAATTTTATTTTCCTCAATGAATTGGCAATTCATGATTTGAGGACTCAAAATTTGAATCAGATTCAAAATAAAAGGTAGGACTGAAGGCATTGTTTACCTCAAAATGAGTTGACAGATCCTTCCCATCTAAGTCTAGCTCTTCTTCCTCAGAGGATTCCTCTTCTTCTGAGTCTTCAAGTTCATCTGGGATGGATGCTGGCTCAGGTGATGCAACAGGTGTGACAACATCTTCTTCCATCTGAGAGGATTCCTCAGAAGAATCACTGTCTGACTCTGAGGATGGCAAATTCTTGCGGAAAGAGGCAAGGGCACTTCCCAACTGTCATCACTTTTCTCTTTCTCTTCAACCTGGGAAGGTGGTGCATCCACTTGAACAGCTGCCTCTGCCAGAGTTTCCACATGATCTTCATTTGGAACTGAGGGTGTAGGAAGTGAGGTTTCTTCTGTGGTGGTAAAGTCCTCGGCGTCAGCAGTGGGGATATGTACATGCTCGGCAAAGGACATCCTAGAAAAGTCAGGCATTTCCTCATCTTGATAAGGAGCAGCATCCTCAGCAATATTTTGAGAAGCATTGTCTGAGACAATAGGTGCAGCAGCATTTTCAGGAACATGTGCAGCAACATCTTTGGAAACAGGATGTTGAGAGGGAGTTGCTGCCATGTTGGACTGAAATGTCTCCCCCTGAGTTGATGCTAGTGGAGGTGAGTCTTTGGAAGATGACTCATTGGAGCTTGAGGAGAGAGCTTGGGCTTGGTTCTGCAAAAGTAGGATCTCCTTCTTCATCATCAGTTTCTTCATCAACCAAATGAAGGCCTCTTGGTGGGTTTGGCCTAACTGGAGTGCGACCGACTCTGCCGCTTCTTCTTCCACCTCTGCCGCCTCTGCTGGGAGAATGGTCAATCGGATTCAGCTCGTCGCCGGGCCCAATGAAGCTGGTCGGCATGGCTTCAAGGTTGACAGGATGAACGATGATGGCTAGATTAGGGTCTGCTGGTTCAGGTGCTGCAGCATCCTTGTGCACATCATCAACGACTGGAAGAGGATTTCTAGGAGGAGATGCCATGATACAGTAGATAAAAAATTGCTTCTTGTGCTTTTGATTTTTGAGTGTGAATTTTCGAAAAAAGAAGCACGAAATTTATAAGCCCTAATTTTTCTTGAAAAAAAAATTGAAGTGGAGAAGGTGAAAAAGTGATGTGCGTTTTTCTTGGAGAAAGTGTGATTAAGGAGAATAAAAGGTCTATGTGGCAGTTTAAAACAAAACGTGACACATGGCACAATAAGGAGTGGACTTAGTGGAAAATAAAAGACTAACCCATGTACCCCATGACCCATATAAATAGGGATAATTCAATAAAAATAAAAATAAAAACCGTAGCACTCATGAAAAATTCACAAAAATAAAAAACGTATTTATTAATGATTAATAGTGAGAAAAAGAATTGGCTAATCAGGCATAAATTTTATTATATCTATTTTTTTTTTTTTATTTAACTCTTATTTTCAAGTCAAACAATTCACATGGAACATGATCAAGTGTTCAGTTTGAAGGTTCCTCAGTTACTAAGATATGACTATCAAAATAGAGGAGTTTGAATTATGTGAGTGTAATTATTCTCTAAATGTTTACATGAAGCATGATCACGTTTCAAGGTGAAAGACTTCCAGTTACTTATTTAGAAAATAATCCCATTACAGTGAAGTCATTATTTAAAGAAGCTAAGCTTCATTAAATTATGTTGCAGCTTAAGATATTTGATGATGTGCTGCAACATATTTCAGGACATGTTTATTGAGTACACATCCCGAGAGATTTTCTGAGTTTAGAAAGCCTCTCATAATCTAATGCCTTTGTAAAGATGTCAGCCAGCTGATCTTCTGTAGGAATGTACTTTAAGCACACTATATTTTTCTCAACTATATCACGAATAAAATGATGTTTAATATCTATGTGTTTAGTTCGTGAGTGTTGAACATGATTTTTTGAAATATCAATAGCACTTGAATTATCACAATATATGGTCAGGGTGTCACTGGTCAACCCATAATCTCCCAACATTTGTTTCATCCAAATTAGTTGACCACAACATCCTCCAGCAGCTATATATTATGATTCAGCTGTTGAGAGAGATACACAATTTTGCTTTCTACTAAACCAAGAAACCAGATTATTCCCCAAAAAGAAACATGCACCTGAGGTGCTTTTTCTGTCACTAATATCCCCAACCCAATCAGAATCACTAAAACCTATCAAATTTGTATTAGTGTCTTTGAAAAACTGAATCCCTAAGTCTACTGTACCTGCAACATACCTAATAATCCTCTTCACAGCTTTAAGATGAGTGACTTTGGGATTAGCTTGATCATTCTTACAATCAAATCTAGATACTAAAAGAAAAATATTAAAAATTCTAGATTTCAAAGAATGTACTCATAAGGAGTACGTAAAGAACTTATGAATGAATCACTATCTTGATCATTCTTACAACCAAGTCTAGAAACATATATACTAAACAATCTAGACTACAAAGAATGTACTTATGAGAAATACGTAAAGAATGTACTCATGAGGAGTACGTAAAGATTGTACTCATAAAGAGTATAAACAACCGATTCTAAAACCACACTAAAACACTCATGTATTCTTTTCAGCTCTCGGTTTTTATTTCATAGAATCGATCAATTTCCTTGAGTATTGAAATCGGTATTTATAGACATTTCAAGCTTCCACTCCTCAGCCCATGATCTGCAAGAAAACCAACCACAAGAGCACTCAAGAAAATGGGTTAGTGGGTTAGTTTAAGGAATTAGAATAATATTCACAATTAAACCCACTTAAGCACTACTTAGCCCACTAAGCACTATACTTAACCCACTAAGCACTATACTTAACCCACTAAGCACTACTTATTCCATAACTAAAATTTAGTTAGAAAATAAGAAAGTTAAAAATAAAATGTGGAATAATCCACGTGTTTAAAAATCAATAAAAAAATTATTTCCGAAAATTACGAGTGGTAAACGTGTACTTACGTAGCTACGGGTACACAATTTAACAACCGTTTGTACCCTCTCCATTAATTAACGTGACTAGTGAGCTGGTCGTATTAGGTTCTCAATTAGAATATCCATGATTTTTCTCAATTATACCCTTTTCAGTTATTACTCTTAATTAGCTGAGATATAATTAATTACATGAGTATTTTAGCCAGACTATATGTTTTTTCCTAAAATCCGCACATATTATTTTTTTTAATATGTGCGCAAAGCCTAAAACGTCAATTATTTTGGAACGAAGGAAGTAGTAATATGACCATGACAAAGGCTATATGAAGACTTTTTTTTCTTTGTTTTTTCCTTTTTTTTCCCTAAACTTTATTTGTTAGAATTTCAATGCAACAATAATTGCATTTATTCTTCAATTTTATTATTTATCACTCTAATTACCTAGTTCAGAAATAATTAATGACAAGGGACGTATTTTAGTGAATCTCTATGTTTTTTGATGTAATCTATGTTTACTGTTTTATTTTATTTTAATATGTGCGCAACACCATAAAACGACATATTATATGGAAATGCATAGAAATTAATTAATACTCATTTTCCCAATGGAGGCCGTTATATGCAAGCCCATTTTTTTATTAGTGCAAACCCACATTAAGGGATTTATTAGCTCAAACCCATATATTAATTTAATTTTATTATAGCAAGACCAAAGAGGACGAATATACCCTTATCCTCAAATAATACCTAAATACAAATTAATCCTATTTTTTATTTGTACAAAACCAAAAAATAAAAAACTCAAAAGAAATTAAAAAAAAAAAAAAAGAATACGGAAAAACAAAACACGGCCGCACAGTCACGACCATGGCAGAAGACCACCGCACGACTACCGCAGAAGACCACCGCACGACCACAGCCCAAGACTGCCGCACGACCACCACCGGACCGCCGGCGACGATCAGCAAGCCACCACCACCGCACCATCACCACCACCACCAACAAGTAAGGCCCTCTTATGAAACTTTTGTTTGTACATACGAAAACATCAATCGAGCATCGATTCTTGATAAATATGTGTGGATGAACATTAATCTATACTTATTTCTTGTTGGGTTGCAATGATTTAGGCTATTTGGAAAAAAAATTGAGATTGAAATTGGTTTTTTTTTTTTTTATTCTTCGTTGGTTCCGGAAATCGGTTTATACAGACCGATTTATTTAACAAAAATCGGTGTTCTGATGCCGAAATTTGTTCACCAAATCGGTTATACAACTTCGATTTTACAAAAAAAAATGGCGTTGTAATGTCGATTAATGATTACAAAATCGGGTTCTCCATCGTGAATGTTTGGTGTGTATTTGATAATTTCGGCGTGTAGGGTTTCTTGGTGGTTTTGTGAAGAAGAAGGAGGAGATTTTTAAGTTGTGAAATAATGAAAGGAGATTTATGGGGTTATGTATTTTATTTGGTCTTGCACAAAGGAAATATATTTTTTATTTTTTTAATATTTTGTGTTTTTTATTTACTTTTGAATTTCATTAAGGGTAAATTAGTATTTTTATGTTGGAGGTCCTGAACTTATAAAAAAATGGGCTTGCATATAACGACTGCTTTTCCCAATAGCATACATATATTGGATGATATTATATTTTTTCAATTTTGGAAAAGGAATACACTAATCATCTTTAACATGTTTGAAAATTAATAGGTGTAGGTTTCAATTCTGCTATGCATGTGGGGTAGCTTGGAGTTCTTCCCATGGTGGACGGTGCTGTTGACTATGCTGACCTGACCTATCGGCCTTCATTACATATATAGTAGTACTTTTTTTTTTGAGAAACATATATAGTAGTACTACATATGAATTTGAAATTTTTTTGTATTATTATCTTGCAAATTGAACTCATATACATTTTTTATTATTATTTTTTTATTTTTTTTTTAAAATCCTAATTGATAGGTTCAAAGTTTAAACCAAGACTAAAATAAACTAGGGGTAATATGCCCAACACCCTTGAAACCAAACTTAATTAGATGTGAGTGGCAAACTCAAATAAAACATTTTAACTACATCCCCATTTCAAAATAAAAATTGATACACATCATTTATTTTTTATTTAACCCAAAAATACCCTTACAAAACCAAATAAAAGTCACTATCTCTCTCTTCCCCTCAGTCTCACGCCGCTTAACACCCCTTCTGACTTTCTCCTTCCCCCTCCCCCTTCCCCCATCTCTCTCTCTCATGTTGTCCCCAGACCCCAACCCCCTTCCCCTTTTTTTTTTAATTTTTTTTTCTCTTTTAACAAATCTCTCCCCCTCCCCCCTCCCCATCTCTCTCCTTCTCGTTCCCCCCGTCCCCTCTCTCTCTCTCTCTCTCTCTCTCTCTCTCTCTCATACCGCCCCCAACCCCCCCACCCCCCCCCCCCCCATTTTTTTTTTCTTTTCTTTCTCTTTTAACAGATCTCTCGCTAATGTCGTCCCCTACCCCCTCTTTCTCTTTCTCTTTTCTTTCTCTTTTAACAGATTATTAAATTTAATTTTAGTGGAATAGTTATGGAGGCTATGACGGTGGTTATGGCAGGTGGCGACGGCTATGGTGGCGACAACGATATTGGGCTGTGCGGCGGGGGTTGTGGTTATGGTTGGGATGTTATTCAAAGCATATTTTGAATAATTAATTGCATATGATTTCTTATTTTTTTTTAAGAGATTTTGCTTAGATTGTGTTCAAATGACAGATCTAGGTTTTTTCAATGTTGGTAGGTGACAATGGTCGCGTTGGCTGCTATGGTTTAGTAGTAAAATATAGTACACCATAATACACCCGTATTATAAATACACCGTAGTATGCTATAGTACACTGTAGTATACCATAGTCTGATATAGACAAATCGAAAATATGTAAATTGAACAAAAATAAAATTACAGTTTTTTTTTTCAATATTATGTTGAATAAAAAAAATATAGTAGTGTATAAAATGCTAAAATGAATAATTAAAAAAAAAAAAGGAAGATAAACAAATATTTTGTAAATAAAAACTTAAAAAATGTTAAATGAAGATATGAAATATTAAATGCATAATAAATAAAATGATAAATGCAGTTTGGAATTTACTTATTGCATATTTCGAATTTGTGAGTGGAGGGGCATTTTTGGAATAAATTTTATAAAGGATGTGAAGCAAATGTTTACTTGAGCTTGTCATTTAGTTGTAATAAGTTTTGTGGACCTATATCCTAAGGCCCCAATAAACTAACTCAAATTAGTCCAATTAAGGCTAAAATGAGTTATTGACCGATTCTAGTAGATCTCGTACTCTTGGAAATAAAAAACCGAACCCTAATTTGATGTTTCTATGAATGGATTTTTTTTCTTTCTAAAGTGGCAAAACCGGACTTTTGAATTGCCAAAATAAGAAGTGTTTCATGAGCACAAATCTCATTTGTATTGGTTAATGGGGCCGTTTTGCTTAAGATACTGTTCGTTTCTGACTCAAACACATACCGAAAAAACATTTATTTTTCTATAAGTCCATATTTCCAGCAAATTAGCCAATCAAAAACCATTAATTTCCTACCGAAATAGGGCGAGTTGGGAAATTAACATGTTCCCCTGTGACGGCATTGAGCTCTTAATTAAGCACGGTTGCGTATTGAATTAAGATCTAACTCACCTATCAGTGTTTATGTTAGCATATTTGAAGATGTTCGGAAGTGAAAATTTTATTTCAATCTATAGCGTCCCGCCCTGAGTAGCAGGCACCTCGTGGCGGAACACCACTCAACATGCAGTACATTTAATGACCTCAAACATGCTCCTCAAAAGTTCGATAATCTAAACGTCAAACCCCAACATGTATACCATCGTGTTTACAAAAGGAGATTCTATTACAAGTCGACTTCGACACCACTTACTCTATTACAAAATTCTCGATCAAAGGATTCCTATACGGAACATCATTAGAGATACCTCTCGACGAGACTAATCGGAGGCATACACGAGCTTTAACACATGGTATGAAAATTTAGGTATAAGTCTTTCTTGCGCATTTATATCAGAAAAGAGAAACGAGTAAGTCCGAATGACTTAGTGAAAAACATATGATCCAACAGAACATATAACGAGAGACTTTACAAGAACTTCATTAATAGAAGTGTAACATGTACAAAAGTGTAACATGTACGGCTCAAGTTCAATATTTGGTTGGTCTCCAACCTTGTAACTCCCAACAAATAAAATCATATCACATCCTTATCCCTCCAATCCGTCCCGAGTGGCCACTCGGTCGGAAACAGGCAGGAGACACGACCAGAACGTACCGATCCGGCTCAAGAACGTTTAACTTCAAACGAAAGTGAGTCCGAACCATCAGGAGGTACCATTTGAGGGACCAGTCATCGTCAGCCCAATAAGTGGGCTGCCCGATCGTCTTGCCGAAATGGTCCTGGCCCAGCTCCCCCAAGAGCGTCCTCAAGGGTGGAGACAGCAGGTTCAAGAATCAATATCATTCCGTTTAGGAATATCAAGTCATTCATTTCAAGAATCAAGTCATTCATTTCAAGAATCAAGTCAATCATTCACAAGATAAGTCATGATCATGATAATCGAACATCAAGTCTCAGGATTATGAACATGTTCGACAGAATTCAGTTCAAGCTAAGGAGAGAATATGGAAGTCAAGAAGAACAGTTAGTTCAATATCGGATTCCAAGAACGAGTATATCAAGATCTCAATGAATTCAATAAACATGAGATTTAATTTCGAGCCAACGAAATATTTATTCTCGGAAAGCATTCAAGACAAGATTTTGGGAATAAATATAGTCCAATATCGAGTTCAAGGAAAATGTTCAGGCCAAAAGTATAAGAATTAGCCGTGAACATAGCAACCAAGAGAAATGACAAGTTCAAGATTTCAAGAACAAGATCAAGGTTCCAAGTTCGAGCCAAGGAAACGAATATGCTCGCAGAACATTAAGGATCATATTCCAAGAAAAATATAATCAATGTATCAAAGGATTCAAGATGGAGAATATATTTGGTTCAGACAAAGGAGATATTAAGCGCAGCAAAGAAATCGGATAAGGAGTCATAGTTTCTCACCTGGAGTCCAATGCTAGTTCTATAGGTGCATCTTTAAACTTAAACCTTGAGTGAGAGCTTTACTACGCTCAACAGCTATGCAAATATTAGAACTAAATAAGATTCCAAACAGTAATATAGCCATATTACCATCCGCGATATGACATAGTCAATTTCTTAAACATATACTAAGAATTGCTTCTCGCGACAATTTATTCAAATAATCATTGCGATCGTCGTACTTATCCGAATAACCTAAACAGATAACATTTGTATCTACAAGTTTACTGAAGAATTTAATCTCAAATTAACAACATAACCCGTCAATAACAACCCCGAAAGATAAATACATAAACCTGCCAGATTTTTGGATAACTTTGTTTGTTGTCATAGTCCGTTTGAAAAATCATAACAAATTGTACAGTAATCCAAATCGTCCAAATAATACATCAAATGAAACCTGGCAGTTTAATCTACAAGTTTCCCTAGTCACACAGCCCAAATTATGATCCCAACATATCGAAAACAGTCCCGCAAGAAGATACTCAAAACTGCCCCGGCAGATTACTGTCATCTGATTCTGACCTCTAAATCGAGATATATTATTATTCCATATCAACACATATCAACTAAATAAATTCAATTATCCCCAGACTTGAAAACAACTTACATATTTACCGGGTGTTGCACAATCTAATTTCAAAGTAATTTCGAAAAAACAAGAAGAATAAAGAAAGACCGATTCGAATTTTTCAAGTGGTATATATTTAAAAGGGAAAAACTCAATAAACCATTAATCACATTGCAAATTTCGTGAGATTTATTATCTTTCGACGGTGCAATGTGAATTATATTTGCCTTTCTGATATGCAAAGTGTCAACTTGTTACATTTTGAGGATTTAAAATGCAAAAATCAGACCAAATACTACAAGAGACATAAAGCAAACCAAGCTTGCAAATCATGAGTATAATCTTTCCTTTTTTTTCGGTAATGAAGGAACCCGCAGTCAATCGTATAAGTTCATTAACCTACACTCTCGTATATTTTCAAATCATACAAGAGACATAAAGCAAACCAAGCTAACCATGTGTAACTAGCTTGACCTAGCGATCCATTCGCAAATGAATTCGAATTTGGGTCATGATATTTCATCATTTTAGGGATTAGGTACATATCTTTAACTATCAATCATATTAGTGATTTTAGGGATTAGGTTTATATATAATTATTAATTTTACAAAGAAGACAAAAAGAATATATATATATATATATATATTAGAAAAAGAAAAAAATAAATTAAAAAAAGATTAACTAAAATACAAAGTCAAAGAGCCGGATGCCGTTCAAAGTTCTGACCAATAAGAGTAGAGCCTTAGGAATAAAGTCACTCGAATTTCGGTGTATACATAACTAATTCAAAATTGAAATCAAATAAATTAAACTGAGACAAAAAATTAGTTAGCCATCTCTGTAGAAAATCCATCTCTGTAGAAAATGGAAGCCCTTACTTGCGATGAAGATGACTACTACACTTCACTGCTTCTGATGGAAGATTCCCAAATCTTCGAAAAAAAAAACACCTTTTTCTCCGACAACGACGGCGACGAAGATTTCGCACAGAAACTTCAACTTCAAGAAACCCTAATCTCTTCTTTCACCACATCATCACAGAAACCCCAAAGAAACACATCTTCCATAGAAGTTGGAGAATCATCGTCATCATCGAAGAAACGACGTCGTCTAAAGGAAGAAAAAGAATCATCATCACCATCCAAAAAACGACGTCGTTCGAAGGAGGAAGGAGAATCGCCGCGGCGTTCGTCTTCGACTTCGTCCCGGTTCGTCTGCGAAATATGCACCGAAAAGAAAAAGAAATATAAAATATTCCCATTTCTGAATCACAACTGCAGCCACAAGTTCTGCACGGAATGCATATCGAAGTATTTAACAACGAAATTGAAGCGCGGGAAATCCCCATCGATCGCGTGCCCGGGGCCCGACTGCGAGGGCATTTTGGGAATCGAAGAGTGTGTCGGAGGGGTGGTGCCGAAAGAAGTTGTTACTTTGTGGGATGAGGTTATATGCGAGTCGGTAATTATTCCGTCATCGCAGAGGTTTTACTGTCCGTACAAGAACTGTTCGGCTTTGATGATGAACGATTCCGATACGAGGAACACGATGAGGGAAGCCGAGTGCCCTAGCTGCAGGAGATTGTTCTGCGTGAAATGTAATGTACCGTGGCATTCGGGTTTCGAGTGTGGGGATTTTTCGAGGATGAGAGAGAGCGAGAGTGAGAGAGAGGATCTGAAGTTGCACGCGCTTGCGAAGAAGAAGAAGTGGCGGAGATGCCGTAGATGTAAGTTCTTTGTGGAGAGGAATAAGGGATGCTTGCACATGACTTGCAGGTTAGTTAATTTTGTTCTTTACTACATTCAAAATTGTTATACGGTACATTTTTACTACTGCGACAATCTAGGGTTGTAGGAAATACTAAGATTTACTGTAGCAAAATATATTTGCCGCAATCATTTACCGCAGCAAAACTTTTGTCACGCCCATAATCACTATGGAGAAAACTCGTAAATTCTTAGTAAAAAAAACTTTTTATCACACAACGAATTTGTGTGGTAGTAAAATACATTTTTCGACTAGTGCGGGTGGGTCGGGTTGCAATTGCCATCGTTACGAATATGATGATTTATATATTCCATATGCATTTTTTGAATGAATCAATTCGGGAGAATTGAAATTACTCCGTAAGTAATACACTTGTCCGTTAGGATGATGCACATTAATTAAGAAAATTATTAGATAGTCTTCATTTTAGAGGAAAATGTTTCTACCTGTTTCATTTTGTTCTATCTTATCGGTCACTATATAATTTAAACACTGTATTAATTACATAAGTTTCAATTCTACCGTCATTTCTCAAGTCTCAACTCGTTTTTCTCTCTTGTATTAGGGGACAAGGGTATCTTTTTTGGTCTAAAATTTTTTTTGTTTTTTAAATGAAGTCACGTTTATTGAGTTTCTGAGTATTGTGAAATAAAGTGTGTTTATTTTATAACTTTATCCATTTGTGGGTTTTATCTATCCTACACCCGGTGAAGGTTACACCGGGTGATTTTTCACCGTTGATCTACACACACCAATGTGGGTGTGTGTGTGTTTGTGGTAAAGATCTACCCGGTGTATTTCACCCATGCATTTTCATTTTCTCTTTTATCACTGTATTAATATTTTGATACAGTTGGACCAAAAAAAATATATATAGCCAAAGTGACACGTATTTCGATTTGTGAAAATTAGGTGTGGATTTCAATTCTGCTATAAATGTGGGGCAGATTGGATAGATACCCATTTTTGTTTACGGTGACCACGCGCTGCCCTGACTCATCGGCCATCACTACATGATACTAAAGACTTTGATTTTCTTTTTTTTTTAATTTTTTTTTTTCTTTTTGCAAATTGAACTCAGATTTAATTGTTGTTACTTTTGTATTCTATCATCTTATTGGAAAAGGTTCCATTTTTGTTTTCCATTTATCGTAATTTAGGTCCAAAATTGACAAGACAAGAATCAAATGATTCAAAATTTCACATGAGTTATGACATTGTACTCAAAATTATAGGGTTTCTTTTTGGTAATTTACCCTAATTGATGATGATCCTAAACCTAACAAATCCCAAATTGAATTAACTCGAGTTGACCGAAGTTTATGGAAAAAAATCACACACAGAGCGTACCCATTTTCGACTCATAAATTTTGGCCGATAATAAATTCTAAAAGTTTCAATATACCTATGTATGGTTGCCTTGATTGGTAGTTTGGGATTTTTTAAAAAGGTCGGTCCGATGCGTAATGATTTTTGATATTTGTAAAAGTCGGTTGGTCAAGTCATGCTGATACTCAATAGATAGTAAACCAATCATACCAATAAACATCTCTAGTTAATTGGAGGGAGTATGTCACACAAATCTTGTGATTAAGTTAGTGCAAAATTAAACTTCGATGACTTCAATTATAAAATTGGGTAATTTTCCTTGGAAAATACACTATCTCCAGAAATTTCAAGCACAATATATATAAATATATAAATTTACAAACACCAATTATCCATGATTTTCAAGATAAAAGCAATTAAAAATAAATAAAAATTATGCCATAGTTGAAAGAGTAATATTCAAGCCTCGATTAATTTTTCAGCTTGCTCTCTTCATCAGTATTAAATTAAATTAAATATTAAAGATGTTCATCTGCCAATTTTGCCCTCAGATCCTTCCTCAATATTTTGCCTGATGGAGATTTGGGAATGGCATCAATGAAGAACACACGGTTTATTCTCTTGTAGAAAATAACCTGTCAAAATAATTTAAAATAAATAAAAACCCAACATTTTAATTTCTTAAATATATTTTCGTAGAAAAAAAAATAATGTGTAGATAATATTTACCTGTTTGGAGACAAATTGCTTGATTTCATCTTCAGTGATGGTCGATCCCTTTGTTTTCACCACGAAGGCGACGGGTAATTCTCCCGCTTGCTCATCTTTCATGCTGCAGTAAAAAAAAGTAACGATTTATTCCAATGTACTATTAGCAATATTTAAATTTAAGTTTAGAATATCGTAGAATAAAGTACTTACGAGACAACTGCAGCATCGGAGATGTACGGATGGTTAATGAGGAGGGCTTCGAGTTCAGCGGGCGCAACTTGAAATCCTTTGTACTTTATTATTTCTTTAATACGATCAACGATGAAGAGCTCGTCGTCATCATCAATGAGGCCGATATCGCCCGTGTGTAGCCATCCTTGTTTGTCGATTGTCCTCTTCGTCGCCTCTGGATCGTTCAAATAACCTATTTAAAGAAAAAAAATCGACACAAATTTATAAATACTTACGCCAAAATTAAAGGGGACAATTTGTAACATATGTTAGTTTTTAGGTTCGATTTTTACATCTTTGTCCCAATTATGTTTTTTGTTAGGTGACCGAACATTGACATGTCATATGTTTATTAGTATTATTATTAATAATATTTTTTTTTAATGTTTCACTTTACACGTTTTGGTAGGTGAAATATGTGTATTGGGTGTGATGTATATCGTGACGTGTTGGTGTTGACATTTTTATTTTATTATACGCATGGGGTAACATTGCAAAAAATGAAGAAAATTTAAATGTACGGTAGTTGAATTGTATAAAAGAATTAAATTACATAATATTAAATAATTAATTGTGAAATTAAATTTTCTAAGTAACATTAAGCAAAGGTAAATTAGGCAGGGCAAAATAATAAAAAAAATCATATTTAGAGAGATTTCGCTTTACTCTTCAGATAAGTAAAATAAAAAAATCCCGCATCTATGTGTAAAAGAGAGAGATTTACAAAGAAATTAAAAATAAATCTATCTTATTAGAATTTTGTAGCGAATTTGGAAATCTAATTTGCTATGAAAGTCAAAAAAATACTGAAAATAGGAGATGGAAAAATAAATAATAATAATTAGTTTAAAATACAAATATGATCATTAGAGTTTCTTAGGTTGTCCTATATAAAGATTAATTAATTATTTTAAAAAGAACTTTTTTTTAACTAGAAAAAAGTTGCTACAATTGTATTTTTTAGATTGTAGTAAAATGAAATGTAAATAAAATAAAAATAAAATAAAAAGATTAGAGAAATTAATAGTACCTTTCATAATCTGATCACCTCTAATACAAATTTCTCCAGGCTGATTACGCCCTAACGAAGCACCATTATCAGTGTCAATAATTTTCATCTCAGCATTTCTTACCACGGTCCCGCATGCACCTGATTTTATCTCCAGTGGCTCTTTTGCAAATGCCAAACACATTGCTAGTACTGGACCTGCTTCTGTCATTCCATAACCCTGCACACATCATCATTCTATTAATTAATATCATCATCTTCCTTTTTTATAAAATTAATATTAATAATAAATTATAAAATTAAATATATTAATTTTTTTTAAATAAAAAATGGCCAAGTAGTTTCACAACTCGAACTCGGATTTATTACGACTAATTCTAAATAACGCGTGGCACGTTTTCTACGAACGAGTTTAGGTTTGGGGTTTATTGTATTCATTTTAGAGTCGACTTTTACGATTTTATATTATAAAGCGTTTCGAAATTTGGTGAATCGAGTACATATATGTACACCCAAGTTGCAGCTGTATATACTTGTATTCAACCTGGATTACTATATATACATGAAATTAATTAATTACGTGCATATCCTTTTTTTAATGACATTTAACGCTAACTAATCACTAGCCAGATTTTATGGATGTTGATTATTAATATTTAATGCACCTATAAAATATAATTCATACCAAATTAATTATAATTTACTACTTACTACACTCGTGCTATTATATATATTTAGGGAAAGTTACAGTCACCCTAAGTTATGGTCAAATTACGAAATCCCCCTCATGTTTGAAACATTACAGCCAGCTCTCTTAACTATATATTATCTTACGAAAATACCCCTCCGGAGGTAAATTTAGAGATGTTAAATTGTTAAACCAAACCCAAATTTCAGTACGCCAACATTTCATACCGTTTACCGAACTAAATATACGATTTGGTTTGGTAAATAACCGAATTACATAAATTTTATATAAAAATATTTAATAGGAGAGGGGTGGCTGTAATTACCCAAACAAGATGAGTTTTTTTTGTAATTTAACCATATCTCAAGGGCGGTCGTAAATATTTTACTGCAAAATGTAACGTGTAAAAAACAAATATTAATTTCAAAATTAAAGTAAAAAAAGAAAGGGTAAATTCCACTTTACCCCCTTGTACTCTGCCCAAGAACCACTTTACCCCATCGTACTCTTAATTTCGTCGATTTACCCCCTTGTACTTGTACAATTTCCCAATACAACCCTCTTCATCAACTTTTTTCGATTTTGACTCTAACGCCATTTGGTCAAGAGTCAAAATATTGACGTAAATATTGAATTTTTTCGATTTTGACTGTCGAGATTAGATAAGAGAAAGTTTCACACATTCATATATTTTTTTCTTTGCACTGGGTGGAATCGATCAATTTTTGGGTCTTGATTTTTACTAAGTTAGGGGTTCAATTTGGGGATATCTTGGAAGGGGAATTGGTGGGAGAAGAAGAAATGACAATATTGACGGAGAAGAAACGACGCGTTATAGGCAGTGGCAATTTTGTAATTTACAGAGTTGACCAAATGGCGTTAGAGTCAAAATTGACAAAAATTGAAGAAAATTGCTGTATTGGGAAATTGTACAAGTACAAGGGGTAAATTGATAAAATTGAGAGTACGAGGGGGTAAAGTGACTCTCAGGCAGAGTACGAGGGGTAAAGTGGAATTTACCCAAAAAGAAATTACCTGTCCAAGTTTGGCATTAGGGAACTTTTTCCTGACGGCATCCTCCAGCTCTTTACCTAGCGGCGCCGCCCCAGACATCACCGTGCGAACAGATGAAAGGTCGTATTTATCCACCACCGGAGACTTGGCAATAGCCAAAACAATCGGCGGGACGAAGGGCCCAATCGTAACTTTATACTTCTGTATTAATTCCATAAACGGAACCACATCGAATTTCTGCATGATAAGGATCGCCGACCCGACCCGCAAACCCAGCAGCAAAATGGATAGTGAGTAGATATGGAAAAACGGCAAAACGCACAGTACGACGTCGTTGCAGTGGATGTACAGATTCGGGTTCTCGCCGTCAACTTGCTGCGCCACGTCGGTGACAAGGCCCTTGTGCGTCAGCATCACCCCCTTCGGCAGCCCCGTCGTGCCGGAGGAGTACGGCAGCGCCACCACGTCTTCCGGGCTGATCTTCACCGCCGGGAGGTCCGCCTCGTCGGCGGAGGTCAGCTCCGAGAAGGCGACGCAGTCCGCCGCCGCCGGCGGCGGCGCGTCGACGCAGACCACCTTCACGCCGCCGTGCTCCGCCGCGTAGGCGGCTACCTTCTCCACGTGGCACGCCTGAGTTATGATTGCCTTGACGGCGGAGGCTTTCGCCTGCTTGACGACCTCGGCGGCGGTGAAGAACGGGTTGGCCATTGTGGAGACGGCGCCGATGCGGGACGCGCCCAGGAAGGCGAAGACGAACTCCGGCGAGTTGGGCAGGAGGAGCATGACGGTGTCGCCGTGACGGAGGCCGAGGTTGCTCAGGCCGGCGGCAACTTTGCGTGACGTCAGCTCCACCTCCGCGTACGTGTACACCTCGCCGGTTGCGCCGTTGATCAAACACGGCCGCTCGCTGAACTGAGAGATGTTCTCGAAGCAGTAAGAATGCAGAGGGAGGTGCTTCGGAATGTATATGTCGGGAAGTTTCGACCGGAATATGATGACGTCATCATCTTGCTTTTTCTGATCTGTCACCATTTTTTTTTTTTAAATAAATAAAATATTAAAAAAAGAGAGGTGAAAATTGGTATCAACTTCTTTGGGTTGGAGAGTTGAACCTGAAAATGAAAGTTGAAACTTTTGGAGTATAAATATGGGCATTTTTTTGGTGAGGTTGGTGAGGGACTTAATTGTAATTTCCGGTTGTTCAGGGGTACTTTTGGGAATTCAGTTTCATACTTGAGTAAAGAAATATATAGTGTGGTTGGTGAGAAATAGTGGAGGAGTTGGGATTTGAGGTTTGGGGTTGCAATCTTTTTACTCATTATTATAAAATTTTATTTTCATCTTGGATCCTATCATTATTTATCTATGATTTATGTGCTTTAATGATATTAAATTATATTATTAACAATGTATTTATGTATATTATAAGTTAAAAAAAAAAGTAAATATAATTAATACTATATACTAATTGCTTTGACAAGAAATGCACTATATTTTGCTTATTAAAACCAAAAGAAATCCCCTATCGGATGCAGTCTGATTGATCTATCAAAATAAAGAGGGCGGAAAAAAATATTCTAACTATAGATTTATCTTTATTCGACGAGGACGCGCGGTGATGATGATCTAGTTATGCATTCTCTACCGCGTTTGATAAGGGATCTAGTACAATATTTGATTGCAATAAGTTCAAATTGAACATATATCTTTATACAATATTTAAAACGTGTATGATCAAGTTTCAAATTATAGCAAATAGTCGAAAGAGTAGTCACGCACCACTCATCATGTGGGTTCGATATAAGTTCAAAAGGTACGGAAATATCCCACCATATATTCGTATGTATGTATGTATATATATATATTAGACACACACACGATAAATATAGGTAAAAATTGTATTTTTTTTTTAATTTTTTTTTTGAGAGTATAGGTAAAATGTAATTGGTCGGTGAAGTTTTAAAGCAATGGACATATATAGGTAGGTAAATTGGAAAGTGGTGATGTTTTGTGTGTCTACTTTCCACCTACTACAACGACGTCGTATGGAGCAATTGACGAAGACTTGGTCAAAATTGGTTCTTGGATAGTAGGTAAAATTGAATTTCCATAAGAAACCAAGAATCTACACGTTTGAGGATGACGTTTATATTGTTGTGGATAAGTTTATTGCGTATATATTACGTCATACATATGTCATCGTATATATTATATTGCATCATATGTTATCGAGCGTTTGTTCTATTATTAAAACTTTTCTATATCAAAATCCACATGCATTTAACCCCAATTTGATTGGGGGATTAGTTATTATTAATTAAATAATTGAACTTTATTTGATATTTAGTATCCTAAATAATTTATTGAATCGACTCGTAAATATTTTATTATCATAGTTTATTTTACTTTATCAGGCCTCTTAGGAAGCTTTCTTGTTTGACGTTTTTATGTCCGATTAAAATAATTGACTTTTCATTAGATTTTTTTTTAAGAACTCTATAACTTTTAGGGTTTTAATGCAGAAAATGAAACATATTTAGATTTTATGCAAATTTTCTTCATGGGTGTGAAAGTTTTCTTTAATATATGCTGACTTTATGCAAGACATTATTCATTTAAAACTCACTTTTTCTTTTACAAAAAGAAAAAAAAAAAAAAAAAAAAAGAAAACTCACTTAAAAAAAACTCAAGTCAACTCGTTGTATCATGTATATTTAATTTGTGCTCGTAATAACATGGACACGAGAGAGAAAAAAAATACAATAAAAACAAAAGAATGGGATTTGGTGAAAATTTTCTTCAATTAATACATGAATTTTATATTGTTCATACGTACTGTTTACGTTGTGCTACATCGGATGAACTTCACCGAATACATAATCACCATTGGTTATTGTAAATGTACGTGAGACTATCGAGAGTCGTACGAATAATGTTACAAATGTCAAGAATTAACATTTGCTATAAATACATCTCTCTTTTTTTTTTTAAATAATATATCTGGTACAGAGAAAAACATGTAAGAAAATGAAGCCCCGACAACAAAATTAAACTATATTTATGATATATAATATTTTTTAGATTAATTAGCACATACTTTGTAATATATATAGCATGATTATTTTTTTCTTTTATAAATTTATGAGTGTTTATTCAACTTAAGCATATCATATTTTGATTGGTTTTTAAGTACCTTAGTAAATTAATTAGTTTTAATATTAACTATAATGGATAAATAATTTATTTTTTTCTTCTTATGATTATCACCAACTCCATAAATACTGTCTTTACCAATAAATTATCGGCCCACGTCACATGCATCTAAAGCCCAAGGGCAATCTTGGACAAAGTCATCCACACAATAATTGTCACAACCACCAACCATATGTATAGGCCTATTATCAAAATCTACAATTTTAGAAAATGAAAAACAGTAAAGAATATATATTTTTTTAAATATAATTAGTTCATATATATTTTTATTTTATTTTTTAAAAAATAAAATAAAAAATACTAAAGAGCATGAAGTTATTAAAAAAAAAACTATTTTGGTATATTTGAAGAACACATTTAAATTTTGCTTAATTAAATGTTGAGTATGGACGATTGTAGCGTAATCAAGGGCTTCACACTCCCAAACGCGTCCGGGAAAATCTCCGAGCTTTTCCCTAATACTTTTAACCTTTTATCGCATTTACAGATTCATTCTCTTTCGAAATCGTCGTCACTTCTTCGTTTTCATGACTTTCATTTTGAACATTATAGTGTTCCTTCAATATCCAATGCAACTATTCATTCTCCTCGCAAGTTAACTTATCGTTTTGATACAAAATTATCTCAGTTTGGACAAGTGATTCTTCGTTCTCCTTATTGGCTGACCTCTCATACGTATTCTTTTATGATTAAATTAAATAATTTTGTCGTCGGTCCATTCAGAGAAATTTGGAGTTCTTCGCCAAAATTGTTGTCATTTATTCTTCTCCTCCAATAATAGGTCCAGCGGCGACGTTAGTGACAGTGTTGCGCAGTGCGCCTTTGATGTTGGCGATTTTTTGACAATAATCCATATCTCTTCTACTGATCTTTTCAATCACTCACGCAAAATGTTAATATAATCGCAATCTTGCTAGCAAGAACTTTTGAAAATTGATTATGGAACCTTTTTCATGGATCATAATTTACTTTTTGTTGATTGCAATATCTATATGTAACATTATTTTTCTAAGAAAAAAGTTGTTTTAAATTACAAATTCACCCTTTTGCTTGAATTGCCGCACTTGCTCATCCTATTTGAAGTGCTTTTGGGAACAAGATTAATGTAACTTATTAGGTCACACAACGTTGTCACGAAATCATTTATTTTACTATTTATTATTATTATTTTTTTCCCAACACCTATAAAAACCACTAAACTATATTAAATTACTCACCAATTGAGTCTCAAAATACCATTTCTTGTTCAATTGACACAATTTACTTGGTTTTATTAATACAACTACAAAGACTATTGTAACTTTATTGATCGATGGAGATTGTTATTGTTACTTTTGAACCTGATTTCATTAATCAACTACGATTATAGTCGATTAATATCGTAGTTAAAAATAAAGGTTAATTTTAAAAAATAAATAACATATAAATAAAGAAAAATGTTTAACAAAAAAGGAAAATTAATTAAACAAAAACGAGATAGGTTGATGTGTAGTAGGAAGAAGACAGTGGAAGAGCGATTTTGGAATTATAAAATAGCATGAATTTATCCTAAATAATCAAAATATGAATAAACATCTCCCTATTATTGTAACGTTTTGATTATTGGAGATTTTTTATTTCTCCACGAGAAAAGGCACACTCAAATATCAAAGGAAAAAGATAATAGGTCTATTTCTGATTTTGATGCCTCTATTATTGTGTTAAAGTGAGATGTTACTTTTATCCTTGGCCTCTTTGGTCTCCTTAAATTATTTATTTTGAGCCTCTCAAATTTAATTTTAAATTTCTTGATCTTTATTATGACAATAACAATTATAATACTCGAGCAAATTGGAAACAAACATTTGTCGTGTTACATTACAAAACTTGGGAGCATCCAGTTGAAGTTCAATATTGTGCTTTTTTTAAGGTAGATCGAAATTAACCATTTTTAATCAGTGAATTTGGGGTAATTCAGTGAATCCAAATTTTAATAAACTCTTGAATAATATAATTCAGGAAGCTTTAATTCCATGTACTCTTGAAATATAGTCTTTTGGCTTCTTACACCCTCGAAAGAAAATTATAGCACTTTACACCCTTGAACACTATAAATCATACATAATATACCTCTGAACGAATTAACTCATTTAATATATATGTTCCCATGTTTTTGTAGTGGCTATTTTTAAAAACTTCACGAAGGATATAATTATTTTCTTGTATTTGTTTTTTTCGATTAATAAAACACGAGGGCGGCCAACATAACCAACCAATGGTCTTGCTTTTTTATGCACTTTGAGTTTTCTAGACCACATGAAATTAAAAAAAAAAAAAAAAAAAAAAAAAAAAAAAAAAAGTAGTTTTTTAGACCACAAAAATTAACTTTTTATTTGCTTTATGTTTTTTGTCTTCTATTTGTGTAATCTCTAATTTATGAAAAAAGAATTATTGTGTTAATTTTTTTTTAGCAAAAAGTCCCCTATGAAATTTAGTCAAGGTCACAAAACCCCTGATTGCCATTTGTGGACTACACTCGTCTTATCCTGTGATTGGAAGTGCATTATTAGCGTGAAAAAACTTAAATACTCTTCAAATTACAAAATATTATTAATTTGTTTATTTTCCTTTTCTTTCTGATTTTTTTGATGTGGAGATAGTATATTTTTCCTTTTTGCTAGTTTATTTATATTTTATATTTGTATCTTTTATTGTTTATTAAAAACATAGGGTAATTTTGTCTTTTTATCTAAGTTAATAGCCATTTTTTTATATAAGGGAAGGTGTGGAGTACTTTTGCATCTCTTACCATAATTCATAGAGAAGTTCTGAGCCAAAGTACTAAACAAAAAATTAGGACATGAGAAAAATCATTTTAGCTATAAGTCTCCATGAGTGTAACATATAATTAAATATGATGATAAGCAAATATTTTCGTCTACTACTGTTAAATCTCTATAAATTAATACAGTCGGGATCAGAAAAATTCTATTAATTTAGCAAATTATTAAATTATCGAGTTAATAATTTAACACGTATTCACCGAGTCGGAATCGGGAAAAACTATTATTTAATCGAGTTCTACTGTATTATCTATAATATCATCACTTTATTGTTTTCCCCTTTTCATATATTCAATTCAAATTGCATTATTAAAAAGAAATATAGCAGAACTAAAAACTCTTATATTTCGAGTGCTTTTTAATATTTTGATTGACTCAATGATTATTGAACAGCGAATTATCTCGGAAATTAGATGCTACACCTGGTTACTTACATTGGGTGAATTTGAACCGTAAATCTACACATAATCTCATACACACTCGGCCATGTGTACATATTTGCTTTGTGGATAACTATTTAGTCAAATTTACGATTTAAATTCACCCGGTGTAAACATGAGTCCTTTTATGTATATATATTTATCGTACTGTCGTATATTATCTTCATCGTTTCCAAAACGAAAACAAAAACAAAGTTGAAGATTTGGAAATAAATCAAAAAACAAAAAAAAAAAATTATGCAGAGCGCGAAAGAAAATTGCCACCGGCAACTCGACTCCTTCACGGATGCGGAGTTTGTCTCCGGCGGCAAAAGCATCAACACCCGTTCCACCGTCACTGATACCAGCGCCGCCGCCGCCGTGGACGAACACATGGTGCCGGAAAACAAGGTGGTGGCGGCGGCCGCGGCGGTCAATGTTCAGACTGAGCAGCTGGCCGACAAAGACGGGGAGAAGAAGTACTCTTCATTCCCATCATCTTTGGCCAGAAGCGCTTCGTCAAGAATTAAGCAGGTGTCGAAAGAGGTTAAGCGTTTGGCCACTCTCACGCGCCGCCCGCCGGAGAAATCCGCCGCCGCTCGGTATGCACTTAATGGGCTCAAGTTTATTAGCAAGACTGAAGGTGAAGCCGCCTGGGCCACGGTGGAGCAACGCTTCGATGAACTCACCTCCACCACGGACCGCGGGTTGCTACCTCGTTCACTCTTTGGTGAATGCATTGGTAAGTAATAAAAATACTATACATATATAAAATAAAATAAAATTATTTATTATCTACCTTTTAATACAAAAAAAAAAAAAAAAAAAAAAAAAAAATTCATTCTATTTTTTTAGATATAATTTGAATTATACATAAAATTCTTGAAAATTCCAATTATTTATTTAATTTTCTAAACAAATTTAAAGTGACTATATTTTTTTCAAAAATTAAACATAGTTATTGGAAATTTCCCAATTCTGTTGATTCATAGTGAAAATGTTTACCTTTAGAATATTTCTTCTTTTTTTTCTTTTGGGTAAATTACAACCACCCCTGAGGTATGGTCAAATTATGAAAACTTCCCTCTTGTTTGGACTCCTCAATTATAAATCTTTTTACACGTCCACTTTGCGGTTTCAAATTTAGTGGAATCTTCGATATTATATGAAATATTTATCACTTTTGTACCCATTTTATCTCATTCGAACTCCACATTTTGAAGCAAGATGGTCATAATATGTGTTTTTGGCTTGTATATATCAGATTGTGGTGCATCAGAAACTGTATTTTTACACAAAACGAGTACAAACTAGAGCATATTCCACGAAATCTAGATGATTATGTTGTATTTGACACCATAAGGGTGGAGGTATAACAAAAAATCATAGTTGGGGAGGTAGATATAATTATTCAAACAAGAGATATTTTTTTGTAAATTGATCATACCTCAGGGGTTGATTGTAATTTACCCTTTTCTATTTTACTTTCAGTCCAATATAAGAATTTTTTGTTTTTTTCTTTGTTTAGATTTTTTGGATTATTAAAACAAAGGTAAAATTATTTTAATGATATTAGTTCCGATTCCTCCGATTTCCACACCTAGCTAACACTTATTATTTTCTCATAAATAGGTATGAGTAAAGAGTGTAAGGAGTTTGCCGGAGTGCTTTTCGACGCACTTGCACGGAGAAACAATATAACCGGAGATTCGATCACAAGAGCAGAGTTGAAAAAGTTCTGGAACCGAATTGCTGACGAAAGTTTCGATTCTCGACTTCAGACTTTTTTAGACATGTAAGGAATTTATATATTGTAGTAAAACAAATAGTAAAACTATAACATTCCAATTTTTGCACATTTAACACCTTTAATTTATTTATAATTAATTAAAAATAAATGTCTAACACAACATTCAATTATGTAAAAAGTCTCATTAGAAAAGATATACTACTACAAATATGTTTCTAACGTTGAGTATTTTTGACTTTCAAAATTGTATGTAAAAGAAAAATTTGAAGTATGTATAGAATGGAGAGAATTGTTTCTAACGTTGACTATTTTTGACTTTCAAAATTGTATGTAAAAAAAAATTGTTCTAAATTGAATGCAGGGTTGATAAAGATGCAGATGGCAAAATCACTGAAGATGAAGTTCGGGAGGTACGCGGAATATCTTCTTTCTTTTTTCTCCTTTTGATTTTCGATTATTCATTTTTTCTTCGATTTTGTTCGGTTTCGGTTTCGGTTACAGTTTAACAAAAAATTAAAATTTCAAAATCTAGTCATATAATAGTGGCAATAATATGATGCATTTATAATTAAACGTTGTATATACTATGTTTGCAGATTATGTGCTTGAGTGCATCTGCAAATAATCTGTCGAATATCCAGAGGCAAGCCAACGAATATGCTAGACTTATGATGGAAGAATTAGACCCCGGCAACCTCCGTTACATCAAGGTAATCGTAATAACTTCACATAACAAAAAATAAAATAAAAATAAAAAATAAAAATTCAATATTTTGTTAGTAAGCTTTTGATCAAGAATTTGATAACACTAGAACATGCAAAACAGATAGAAAATCTGGAGATGCTTTTAATGCAAGGTCCGAACCCGTTGGCTAGAGGCCGAGGCAAAAGCCGAAACCTGAGCATAATGCTTAGCGAAAAACTAAAGCCGACAAGAGACTACCCTCTTAAGATGTGGTACCGAGATTTCAACTATTTTTTAGTCGACAACTGGCAGAGGTTTTGGGTGGTTGCGTTGTGGATCGGAATTATGGCCGCCCTTTTCGCTTACCAATACGTGCAGTACAGAAAACGAGACGCTTTCGATGTGATGGGGCATTGCGTGTGCATGGCTAAGGGTGCCGCGGAAACGCTGAAGCTGAACATGGCGCTGATTTTGTTGCCCGTCTGTCGGAATATCATCACCTGGCTTAGGAATAAGACAAGGTTGGGGGTCGCGGTTCCGTTTGACGACAACCTTAATTTCCACAAAGTGAGTTTTTCGGTCGTTTTCTTGTTTTTTTTTCTTTGTCTTTGAAAATTATTGTTCGATGGCCTTGTGTTGCATTCAATTTAGAAATTTACGAAGGTAATCCCTTGATTCTGTTTATTAGCGTATATTAATATATATAATAATATACGCTAATATAATAATATACGCTAATACTGCTATATGTGTCGTTTAAGGTTTTTTACAAATATATTAAGAAAGTTATTAAATATGGTTGAATTTGAGGAAATACCATGAAGTGACGAAAATAACCGTTAGCATTTAGTGAGGTGATAAGAGAGAGTTCAGACGTAATAGATTTGGATTAATAAGGATAAAATAGGAAAGAAAATGAATTTAATGTATTATCGGAACTGTAAAATGACGGATACTATGGAACAGAAAAAATTCTCTAGATAACATGGAACGTGTGTAGTTAAAATAGGAGACTTAATGTTTCGTAGAGTTGGATTAATAAGGGTAGAATAGGAAAAAAAAAAAAAAGCATTTAATTAATTATTGAAACTCTAAACTGACAGATAATATGGATAAAAAGAAAATGTAAAGCGACAAAAAATATGAAATGAATGTACCATAACGCCTTCAATTTCGATATCCTATCTTCTACTTGGCATTTTCTCTCATACTGCAACATTATTAGTACATGATCGACGTTACAAGTAGACAACAATTATAAGTCGTATTCCTTTTATTCCTCGTTTTCTAACGCAATCCAAGAATATCCAATTTTGCCCTTTTCCATTTTAGGTGATCGCAGTGGCAATTGCAATAGGTGTAGGAGTACACGGGATCAGCCATTTAGCCTGCGATTTCCCTCGCCTCCTCAATGCTAGCCCCGAGAAATATAAGCTGATGGAGCCGTATTTCGGTGAACAACCGGCGAGTTATTGGTATTTCGTGAAAGGGTGCGAAGGTGTGACGGGGATTATAATGGTGGTTCTAATGGCTATATCGTTCACACTTGCATCCCCTTGGCTTAGGAGGAGAAAAGAAGAGAAATCGTCGAAAACATTAATGAACAAAATCTTGAATAAACTCACGGGGTTTAACGCGTTTTGGTACACGCACCACTTATTCATTGTTGTGTATAGTCTCCTCATTGTACATGGGGTTAAACTTAATTTGTCCCGTGAATGGTACAGGAAAACGGTGAGTTAAATATATTCGTTAGTTTGCCGTGGATTTAATTTTTTTTTTTTTTTTTTGGTTTAATCGTGTTCTAATTAACTTTAAATTCGAGAAATATTTGATTGCAGACTTGGATGTATTTGGCGGTTCCTATGATGCTTTACGGTGGCGAACGTTTGGTCAGGTCATTCCGGTCCAGAGCCCAGGCCGTCAATATCCTTCAGGCAAATACATACACTAATGTTATTATTGTTTTCTAAAATGTTTATCGGATACACGTAGGGGTGGAAATTGGAACAGGAATTCACATCCGAAATTTTCCAATTTCGAAACAATATTTTTCATTCTGGATTCCAAAAGTTCCGATTTCAGATTTTGGTTTTTTTTTTTTTTCAAAATTGGAATACATATTTGTTAGATTCCAATTTCCGAAAATTTTGAATATTTTTCGAAAATTACACTTATACTATCACTATTATTATTTATTTTGTATCATAGCGACTAAAAAACTGGAATTTCCGCTTCCGCCGATTTCTATCCGAACATTTCCGATTTTGGAAGAACTTTTTTTCATTTCAATTTCAGAAAACATACAAATTCCGATTTGATCCACCTGATTTCCACCCCTCGATGCACACACGTTATTGTCTATTTTGAGTTAGTAGATTTTTTAATTTTTTTTTAATGTTTAAATGGCGTTTTTCGTTTGTTAATTAAGGTGCCCGTGTACCCCGGGAATGTGCTAGTACTGCACATGTCTAAGCCTCATGGATTCAAATACAAAAGTGGGCAATACATCTTTGTCAAATGTGCAGCTGTTTCTCCATTCGAATGGTATGTAAGAAAACTTATGGATTATACACTAACAACACTTGTACAATTTAATCGGCCTGTCGTAATTCGACATATCTTAATTATAATGCAGGCACCCTTTTTCGATTACTACAGCACCTGACGATAATTTCTTGAGCGTTCACATTCGAATCGTTGGCGATTGGACGAGACAACTCAAAACCGTTTTCTCAAAGGTAAGTCTTTGAAATTAATATATTTCACACATAACTGAATTTTTTTTTTTTTTATAATTTTTATTGCGCATGAAATTGCTTGCTTAATTCTTATGTGGCTCTTTTGCAAATTGATTTTTGTTATGTGTTAGGTTTGTCAGCAGCCACCTGTTGACAAAAGTGAAGGAGCTAACTCTTTGCAAGAAGGCAATAATCCCATATTGTAAGAACTTTTCCCAACTTCTATTGTGTAGATAAATTTCCAAGAATTAATTAAATTTTACAATTTTATTCTTATGTTAATCTATCAATTTAACAATGTGACACAGCTTCCCTAGAGTATTAATCGATGGTCCGTACGGAGCACCGACACAAGACTACAAGGACTACGACGTGGTCCTACTAGTAGGCCTCGGCATCGGTGCAACCCCCATGATTAGCGTCGTTAGGGACATCATCAACAACATAAGATCTATCGAGGAAGAAGAAAATTCATTGGAGGGCGGGACCCGCCCTCCAACGCCGAAACAAAAAACGGGATCGAATTCGTCGAGTAGCCATAAACACGAGTTTCGGACAAGGAAGGCGTACTTCTATTGGGTGACGAGAGAACAAGGTTCGTTCGATTGGTTTAAGGATGTGATGAATGAGGCCGCCGAAATGGACCACAAGGGGGTGATCGAGATGCACAACCATTGCACTAGCGTGTACGAAGATGGTGACGCTCGTTCCGCGCTAATCGCTATGCTTCAGTCGATTTACCTTGCCAAGAATGGTTTGGACGTTGTTTCCGGGACTAGGGTTGTGTCGCATTTCGCTAAGCCTAATTGGAGGACGGTCTACAAAAGAATCGCCCTTAACCATCCCGAAACAACCGTTGGTAAGTTTCTAGATCGATTTTTTTTTAAATGTCCGCAACCGCTTCATCTAATGGCTTAAGTTGTTGTCATAGTGAATTTGAATCATTTTTTTTTAAATCGAACGGATCGGATTGGAAATAACCCTTTCGGGAAAAAAAATCCGATTTTCTTAATTAATGTTTTTGCAGGAGTGTTTTTTTGTGGGGCACCAGCACCGGTGAAAGAGCTAAGACAACTAGCTTCTTATTTCTCTCACAGTACATCCACCACATTTGTATTCCACAAAGAAAACTTTTGAATTCAACTGAGTGACGTCACACGTGCATCATGCTTGCATCAGCACCCAAGATCATTTGCATTTGTGGGGTCCAGTTATATATTTGTGTGTATGTGTGTGTGTGTATGTATTATCTCTTCCCTTTTCTTTTTACTTATGATTCTTGGGACATGATAAATGATCCTTGTGAAGTAATGGGGGGCGGAATTAATTCCTAACCGCCTGCAAAATATTGAACGTGTATATATGTGGGTTCCTTCGACCCTACACCCGATGAAAAATACCGGGTGAGTCTTCTGCTGCCACGTGTTCTTTTTTTTTTATTTTTCTAAAACCCCTAAAGGTAAACCCTAGCGGGGAATCTATTATAAAATACAAAAAAGAGACACGTGGCAGCAGAAGACTTACCCGGTGTTTTTCACCGGGTGTAGGGTCGAACAAATCATATATGTGTATATGTGTATATATGTGTATGTGTGTATATGAACCCACATGTTAATATTAGTTTGGGTAATTTCTCCCTAATTTGTATGTTGAAGTGTAAATTTTATTTTAATTTTTTTATTTTCTAAGTGTAAGTGAATCGAGTACATTTAACAAAAAAATCGATCTCAAAATATATAACGCGTGATCAATAATCGTTTCGAGCACTCAAACGACCGGGCTTAAAACAAAAAAGGTAACATCGGAGATGCTCGAACTCAAAAGGGGACAAAAACATGTAACAAACAAGGTTATTTTTTTTCTACTTGCAGTAAATTTGTTTCGAAACCAAGAAAATTACCACCACCTTTTTTACTTTCTTTTCCCTCCTTTCCCTTTCCCTTTCCCTTTTTTCGGTTGCTTCTTGCTCTTTCCTTTCCCGTTTTTGCTAATATTGTTTCCATCTTCTTCCTTGTCATCGTAAGCAACAGAAGAACTTACATTCGGTGGATCATTACTCGAACTCGGCAATATTTGAGCCCTTCTTTCTTCAATGCTCTTGAAAAAAGTGCCTTCAGACACCGAAAACCATGATCGAGACCTTCTATCCTCCAATGTCTTTGTAACGTCCGCGATCTTTTGAACCAATAGATTATACCTTCTTTCTTCCAAGATCTTCAAGATGCCGTCAATTTTCGGCATGACTTTAACGTCAAAGTCACTGATTACAACGAGTTACAAAGGTAAGAACAAAATTAAAAAAAGTTTTATCAGAATAAATCGAAAAGAATATTTGTAAAAAAATGTATTCTGACGACTAACCTCGTATCTAATAACGAACATATCTCGGTCATTTCCTCGATCGTGGTTTTGAATTCGTCCAGCACATTTTTATGTTCCACGGAGTGAGACCTTTGCTGCTCACTCAAATCTGCGATTTCAGCAGTTAAACAGTTGATGTGCTCCTCCACCGCTGCCTGATAAAAAAAAAAACAAGCAGAAAAGATATACACGATAAATTAGTAACCTCGCTTAAATAATAATTACCCCGGCCCCGACTAGGTGACAACGTGTTAAAATATTAATTCAATAATTAATTAATAGAGGTTTCCATGTTAGAAAACAACTCTCAATATAAAAATACCATTTTTTTTATTTTTTAGTTTGTGTACTCTTTTACCTTCTTTCTCATGACAAGGTTCTTTGAATCTCCGTCACTACCACTCCGTAGCGACCCTAAGGCGTCAATGAATTCCCGAAAAATATTCCATTTTAGCTCTATTTGAAGACCCCCTTTTAGCAAATTGGTTTCCAATGTCGTTTTCGGAGATTGCTCAACAGCAACTTCTTCACTAACAACATTTCTTGCCTTCTTATCACCGTCAGTGCTCCTCGGAAATAGTTTCTTGATGACCTGATTTCTACATGAGAAGGATTTCAAGCCAAGAAAAATAGCATTGGGACATACAAACTCGAGACTGCTATCCTCAGTCGAGGCCACAATAACAAGTGAATCCCCGATCGTTTTGAACGCTGCAGCAACCGCAGTTTCGCACGAAACATACTTGTTCATCCTTTTAAGCCGAATAGCTTCGTAAAATCTCAACGGCAGCTGGCTTTTGATATAGTATACTTTAAGGACCTCTAACAGCGCATCGAACGGCAATTCCGAGTTCAGGCACAACAGACAAAGAATCATGAACAACCTCAGCATAAGTATCGGGAAATAATGGTTGCAATCGATATTAGAACGACTGATCCATTCTGCTGTATCCCCACAGTTAAAAAGACAATCCCTAACAGCACTGGCGACAAAGTAAAATAAGCTGCTTGTAGCATAGGATTTCTTGTCTGTGAATACTAAACCAGCACTCGGATTAGCATCCGGTGGAAGGCACATTAAATACTCTACAAACGAAGATTTTGTAGTGAAGAAGTGGCCTCGAGAGTGAGGAACCAGAATCAAGAGCCTCTCGACAAGATAAAAGAAACATTTCGGAGATATAAATTGTCTTGCCCTCCAATTGATGCTATAAGTTTCTGCCAATGCTCTATGAAACTCGTGACTAAGAGCTTCTTCGGAGGAGCGTGGAGATTCGAGATTCTTGATGAATGACTTCCAGGAAGAATTTTCAGACAGCCTTGAAATAATCTTCCGATGAAGTCCCTTTTTCAGCATTAGTCCAGACCCGAGCATTGTAATCGCCACCTGTCCTATCTGCCTATAAGTGAGTTCATCGTTCCCTGAGCTAATAACATTTCTCGAGATAATTTCTTCAAGTAAATTATTGGAAATCTCGGTCTCCCTTAAAGATATCATATCCTCGAATAACGATTCTCGAGGGTCCAAAGGAAAAACATTTCTGAAGTATTTGGTACACAACTGCAGAAAGTTGTGCAGTTTCTCTGTGTCGAGTGATTTCGACTCGACGAACTTTGCTATGTCGAAAATGTGAATGAGGCACACACTTTGGCAATATCGAGATGAATAAAAATTATAGAGAGCTTCAAGAGCCTCCAAAACTCTTACCCCAGCCGAAACTAATTCCCGACACCAGTATTCTCGAGCAGCTGAAGCGAAATGGCGAGCACTGAGAGTTGCCACCTTTCTTTTCCACGAAATGAACCCTTTATCGGAATTTCTAATCCATGCAGCATTAGGGTTCATCAACACATACGTGCCACTTGAATTATTATTTTGCAGCCTCGCTCCGAAGTAGCTTAAACAGAATCGAGCAGTATCTTCGCATTCGTTGAGGTCTACCCTTTTTCCAAGAGAGTCGAGGCATTCCAAAATCTCCAAACATTTTACCTTCCACAAGTTCCAAACGAAAACAAGGGTCCCACTTGAAACTTCGTTCTTCGCCATTCTTTCTTGGAATAAACTCGGGTCAATCTGCAATTCATGATCTGCTTCGTATTTTGTTGGATGGACTTCAAAATGGGCTTCTAGAAGCTTTCTAACAGATAGAATCTCACCTGTACGAGATTTACATTGCTTCGAATCACTATAACACTGCATCAACTCAGACAACAATTTCCTCTGATCATCAGACAAACTTTCGGCCTCGGCACAAATTGATGCACGAAAAATCTCCGGAGCCTTGTCCGCGCATGAAATCGCTTTAGCTAGAAGCTCTTCCTTTTGATGAAATGATTTCAGAGGCCAACCTCGAGTTCCAGACAACCATAGAGAGTTAGTCAGCACGTAAGAAAGTATGAGCAAAGAGGCATTTCGATAATCTCCTGCCTTTTCAAGCAAATCAATCTCACGTAAAGTATGTCCTAATCGTTGTGCAATCTCTAAAGCCTCATTGAAGTTTCCGGAATCTTCCTCCAATACTAGAAGCTCCTCAAGCAAGTCCAAGGACTTCAGGAAGTTGCGCTTCGATTCCTCCGTGCAAAAAGCGCGAACAAACCTCAACATCGATGAACTGTCCCTTTTCTTCTTACATTCCAAAGCACATCTTTCAAGAAACTCTTGCGCGATTTTGTCAACCTCCTTAAATCTTTTCATAAATGCCTGTTGTTTCCATTGCTCGATGTATCGCAAACCGAGGTCCAAATGGTTTCCCTTGGTGCAAGCTGATAAGCACTCGTCGAAAATATTTCCCTTGTTGTAAACTTCGGCGGCAATTTTGTAACTTCCAGCTAAAGAGAAACATTCCCCAGCTTTTCTCAGCTCAGACGTACCGCATTTTTCCAAATAAATCCTTCCTGCAAACGGAAATTAATTCAAAAATCAACCCCAATAGATACATAAATAGCCCAAATAACAATCAAAACTAAGTAACGAACATAATTAATTCCCGCGTATTGTAAAGATAATGGCGTATAAGAACTAGTATGACTGATTGCAAGTCTTTTTCGAGATTTTGGCATTCTTACGTGCTATACAATTTAGCTCTAAATGGGTGTATTAAATTTTATGATATATTTTTCTTTGAAAATCAGATATACTTCCATTCTGTTTTTTAACATGAATCGAGCTCCAATTTTCGTAGACTTGTACCTGTATTTTTATACCAATTTCATCCATTATCCCTCGTTTGTACCATTTTGTCTAAACAAAGTAAACCATCTAAAAGTCCCTAAACACGTAATTATTCTTGGTTTTGATGGAATCTCTTTCAAATCGGGTACTAATCAACTTTTAGAGGTACATTTGGGAATGTACCTGCTCTTTCGTAGTCCCCTAAGTCGCAAAAACATTCTACTGCGGTATCGGATCTGTCAATGGAATCAAATATTTCGGCAGCCTCTCTAAGCATTACACGAGCCTCTTTAGGGTTTGAACCACGTAGAGAGTCGGCTGAAGCTCTAAGACCCGAAGCCTTAGCCCTTTTCTCCCATGTTTCTTCGCCTGCTTTTTCAAAGCACATTGTTGCCATCTCATAATTTTTCTCCCAAAAAAGCTGCAAAAATAAAAATACAATCAGAACAAATATAACAAGAAAAAATATAAATAATAATAAATAAGTAAAGAAAAAAAAAACCTTGATTCCTTGCGATTTCCACTCCTCGGGGCTGCTAGCTCTTTGCATTGCTGCTGCAAGAGAATCATCTATTTTTCGAACTTGGACAAGGCACAGCCTTGTCCAATAATCGAGTATGGGCTTCGACAGCTCTTCATTGTTTTCGCATATCCACAATCTTTGCCTGGTTCGAGTGATCGCCACGTATAATTGCTTCAGTTCAGAGCACAGGATATTGTGTCTCGACTCGCTGAAACTTGGAAACGACTTTGGAGTATTTGCGTCAAGAAGATCTTTTTCTTTCAAGAATTCATACAAAACCCTCCATTGATCACTCATCGGTGAAGAACCGAAAAAGTTGTACAACAGAACATCCTACAAGAAGCAGTGCACGATCGATTTGAGAGATTATATTTTGTTACATTAATGGTAGAAGCATAAATATATACTTAAAAAAAAAAAAACATTAATTTTAATTGCAAGAAGCATTGTTTCTAACCTGAAACTCGAGCCCCTTGCACTCCACTATAGTCAGAACAAGAGCTTGATTGCCAATATAGTTGAAAATTTCTCTTCTCGCGGAATCATCCCTTACTAAAATTACTTGGTCAGCACCAAACCCCACCCATTTTCCAACAGCATTTCCACTGTGTCCAAAAATACTCATAATCGAGTTCTCGTCACTGCCAGGTTCGAGTACAACAGGAGACTCACCATATATAAGACTAGTTTCCGGAGGCAATGTATCAATTGATTGTGGGAAAAAATGGCAAATGAGGTCCACGACACTCTGTGCCAACCGAAGCACACCAGTATGAGTACGGAAATTCTGCGATAAACAAAACGTATCCGATACAACCCCTTTCTCTCTCCTTCCCGGAAACTCGCAATTTCTAGAAGATTTCATAAGAAACTCACTATAGAACAACGATCGAATATCTTCAAACCGAAAGTCGACCCCTCGTGCAATCGTCTGTGCTGTATCGCCGCAAAACACGAACCCTTCGTCGAAATTTTTGCAAATAAATCTGAAAAGGGAAATTTGGCTTGTAGTGAGGTCCTGCACTTCGTCAATGTACACAAAGTCCATTTTATCACCCATTAGATCATCCTCGTTCTTGAGCCGTAGATGAATATCGATCACAAAATCAGCAAGATCGAATTCACCGCGCTCCGATTTCACTTTCTCGTAGTCCTCGAAAATATCGTAAACCGCATCCCTCTTCTCCGCACCTAAAGTGGACACTCTACCGTCAGACAACGAAACGTATCCCTCCCTGCTTCGCTTTCCGTCGCCCGATTCCCCTCCTTTTATATGCGACATTATTTCAGTGAACACCCTCGAGGGATCGAGGATTTTCGTAAGCTTTGCATTGAAGTGGGGCCAGTACGAGGATCGAAAACGCTCGTACGTGACCTGGTTTCTCCTAATGGAAGTCTGCAGTGCAACAGACCTTCTGCCTTCGTACTGCGACGAGGCTCTTGCATCACGAAACCTTTGAAAATAAGAATTGCCCAAAGTTCCATCGAGCATCATTAGAAACTTGTGGAATGTGATGATTAGAGGGTATTTTTCTCGTCCGATGCCGACAAATGTGTCTGGGATATCTCTGAATTCAGCAGCCATTTCATCTAAGTCATCCATATCTGTGAAGCTGCTATTTCCGGAGGTGTTCTCGTTAGTAATCCTGTACATATTGTTAAGTAAAGGTCAGCTGTGTATACAAATATACAATATTAATATTATAAATATCTTTTTCAGGAAAAAAATGAATTTTAAAAGTCGTTAAAATCACATGTGCTAAAAGAACTCGAAACATTCGATAAATCTACGAGAAAGATAAAATTCATGATGAATTGGAGCTCCGAAACACACCTCTTCAGCTGCGTGACGTGCTTTTTGACAGCGTAACAGAGTTTTGGACTAACGGTAACAAAAAGCTGGCGCAAAATAGGCCTATCACCGACAGCTGTCATAGAATCCCGTGTCGCTATGCAGTAGTGCTGAAGCTTCTGGTACAACTTCATAGTCAGAATAGTTGTCTTGCCAGTACCGGACCTACCTAATATAAAGCTGCTCCTCGGAAACCTTATTATTTCACGCTCTTCATCGGTAACCTCAAATGGGAGATCCACTTCTCTACCCTCGACATCGGTAAGCAAACGATTCACAACATCACTCGACAAGGAATAAAATTTCATCAAAAGTAAACTCTCGTTCACTTTAGCGTTTTCGACATGGCTTCTGCATTCAACACTCGCACCGGTATCGACTTTGGTGTCATTACGATTCTTGAACCGGATTACATCATTACAATCCGACCAACTCTTTGGCACCTCCAAATTTCTGGGAAGAAAAAATACGGAATTAATTCCGGACAGATGAATAAAATTTCAGGAGAAATTGTGTTAAATTGTTTTACATACCCCTCGCACAACTTGTCATTGCTGCGGTCGATAAAATCATCCGTGTACATAGCAAATAGGTTGTCAAGTCGTTTCAGAAGTTTCGTAGTGTCCGACATAGGCAGTACGTCCCACACTTTGAAAATCTGTACGTAAACGGGGTCATTAACTAAGTCAATGGAGCAGACAACGTAGTATCTCGCAACCTTGATTTGCTTCACGATGTACGAAGAGCTCTCGCATTTATAGTCCACGTTTATATTCTTGGGCCTCCAACCACTTGCAAGTTTAAGTAGAACAGTTAGGACCAGCTTCTTAACATTGAAAGGTTTCAGTTTCTGAAACGACTTTCGGAAGTTATCACTGAATAAAACCTGAAAATACACCGCACTTTCGACTCTGAAAAAAAAAATGATACTCGTTTGCTAATTTAAAACACACGATCGATCCAAAGAGTACCTTCCATCTTGAATTTTTGAAAAGTAAACTCTCGCCACTAAGCAAGTCTTGGAGTTGTTCCAACGAGCTCAATCTTTGAAACATACTTCTCCCGTAGCCAGCTTCTTCCGATATCTGCGTTCGGCTATTATTCATTACAATCAAAACCATCGATAAAATGAAATTAATTAATTACTCGATACATACCTTGCTGATAACTGTTGCTGGTAATTGGCATTCATCGCCGACAAGAATTGCATGCCTCACGCCCGGGATCTGAAGTGCTATGATCGATTCGCACTCCTTCACCTGAGCAGCTTCGTCGATAACCAACATATCGAACGGCCCGGAATCAACTGTGTGCAGCTTGTATGCGGACGAAGCGGTGCAGAATATCAAAGTAGCATTTCGGAAACACAACTCCACAGTTGAAGTTGCATTGACGCCACTTGGCATGCCGAGTTTATCTAGAGAAGCCCGAAGAGACCTCAGTAAATCAGCACAAGATAATACAGTTCCATGCTGTAGAAAGTTGCTCTCCAGTTTCCCAGATGTCAAGCTGTTGTCATCAAACAACAAAATCTCGACGGAATCGAGAAGAGACATAAGTTGCAGTATGTTTCGATGGATGTGGTGCTCGTGAGTGAGGTTTCTTGGTAAATTAGTGAAGAATTTAATCATGCAATCTCTCAGAGGTGCTGCTAAATGTGGAAATCGGTCTCTGGCAAACTCCAAAAGTGATTTTTTGGACTCGTCCAAGTGCTTATTATTAGCTTCGATAATTACTATCTCATTCTCCACGAAGATTTTATGTTGAGAAACACAATCTTCAAGAAAATCGAGCATGGACGAGATACAATGCTTCCAACCGGCTAGTGATCCCATGCAACTTGCAAGCATCTTAACACGATAATCTAAAAAGATTTCGTCAATTTCTGATCCGACTTTCAGACGATCCTTATTGCCGAATACGAGCATGTCTCCTAAAGGACAAGGCAAATGGCTATTGATCTCCCCAGATTCCTTTAAAACTGAATTTCTTACTAGAGAAACAACCCGAGACGCAAGTTCTTTAATAGCAACGTTTGTTGGGGCACAAACGAGTGTCCTCAAGTTCGTTCTTAAGAGAGTACATAGCAATCGGCTCAACATTGCTGTCTTTCCAATCCCCGGTGGGCCCCATATGAGTTCAACAGATGACTTGTGGTCGCACTCGGATTCGGATATACAAGCCAAAACTGCATCAAGTTGCGATCCATTTGAATTGGACAATAGTTTCTCATCAATCTCGTTATTGTATTTGTGACAACATACTCCACAAATCTCCTCGCCCAGCTGGGACATATACACACCGGTTAATAATAAATACGAGAAAATTGCAAAACAAAATCCAATAAACAAAATTCATGACCGACACCAACAGAGGAAAGACGAAAAAAATTAGTGCATGCAATGCAACAGCAGCTCCTTACCAAGTCGTTCTTGGCTAATAACTTCTCAATGATTGTCAGATTTCGACGCATGTGTAACGCTTTCCATATTCTTTTATGTGGTGTAACGTTGATCAAGTAAACGACGTAGACGGACTTCCCTTCTCCATAACCAAATTCAATTTGCCGAGCCGATTTCAGAGTAAAACTACTGGACGGCGCACTACAACTACCGTCACTCTCTTCATCGTCTTCATGAATATTCATTACCGATGCGAAAGTGTATGTAGATCCGACACGCAGTAGGTCAGAAACAGATTCGGGTATCGAATCCGAGAGCAGAACAACATCACCCGGCAAAGTTCTGCGACCGCCATCACTTGATCTATTTCTCCAGCTGCCAACCTGTACATCGTATAGGAATCTCCCATGTCTTGGCCCACTCGAAGACGCCACCTCAGCAAAAGGTGCGTTGTGTACGGATTCGGCGGCGGAAGCAAGTTCGGCACGTGTTTCTTCTAACAATGGGAAGATGTAGGAGCCGAAATACTCGTCCACGCATCCAAATGAATCGGGAATCTTCTCCACCTACATTCAAAAGGAAATTACAACTAACAGAAAAAGAAAAAAGAGCGTACGTAAACTAACTTCTTCCATCTTTTCGTATTCATTTCGCTTATTATAAGTTATAACATCTTTTAACCATGGCGCAAGCAAATATGTTATATTTTTAGCTGATTTGATTTAATCAATTAAAAAAAGAAATTATGACATAACTTCTGAAACAAAAACAAATACTTTAAAACTTTCAGACAGTGAAATGTGACCATTTTGATGATTAGAAATAATTATAATGTATAAACCAAAAAGAAGCAAAAACAACAATGACCATGTAAAACCCTAATTTTGTATTTTTGTAAGCAACAAGTCAAATGAACTGCATACAGAGATATATCATAAGCTTGTAATGAATGGAATAAAAACCTGGTACTGGTACAGATTGTCATTAAGGATGTCTTGAAGCGTCCATGAAAGCACCAAATCAGTGAACTCTTCTTTATAAGGCTCGTTGGTCCCACCACCTGGTCGTCGATTCTCCTCCATTTTCAGTGCTCTACAATTTTACTGCAAGATAATTTTGCATGCATGAAAAAAATCAAGTCTTTCATATTTCATTTTTACAGACAAGAGAAAACTAAATTGGGGGAAACTGAATCGTCTTTGGGTAGAAGAAAAGTTGTTTCAAAGCTGACTTCTCGTCTTCTTTTCATTCTATTTTGAAGCTGAAAATTGAAATAATAAAGAATATTTTTTTTACTTTACAGTTTCTTTTCTCTCTCTTTTTTTATGTTTGTGGGATCAAGTAGGGGAATAGGATTAAAGCTAGCTAGAAAACTTCTTGGTTAAGTATCAATTCTCCATTCACTTAAAAGAAAAAAAAAATAGGGCAAATTACGTCCAAACTGATGTATGGATAAATTACGAAAAAATATCTATTGTTTGGGTAATTACAGTCACCCTTTCTTTTAAATATTTTTACATAAAATTTATGTAATTCGGTTATTTACCGAATGAAATCGTATATTCAGTTCGGTAAATGGTATGAAATGTTGGCGTGCCGAAATTTCGGTTCGGTTTTACTGATTTAACATTCCTAAATTTACCTCTAAAGGGTATTTCTGTAAAATAATACATAGTTAAGGGTGCTGAATGTGATTACTCAAACAAGAGGGGGGTTTTATAATTTAACCATAACTTAGGGGTGGCCGATTATGCCCCCAAAAGATACATATCAATTCTCAATAATTTATATATCAGTATATGTTCTATGATCACCTATGAACTGTATTGAATTATATTCTACCATATACATGTATAAGTTTATGGACATGAGTGAAAAGTAATTTGACAAAGTAAGAGATGGTCATGGGGCGGTTTTCGGAAAACTCGCAAAGGCCTGCAAAATCACCAACCCATACTCGCCACCAGTGACGGTACTTGCAAGGGGCCGGGGGCGCTGTTGAACCCCAAAAAAAAAATTAGGTATTTGATAATGTATTTTCTGAATATTACTTTTGGTTCCCCTAATTTTTTTGTAAATATGTGTCTTGACCTATTATTTTTTTTTATTTTTTCTCCATAATCTTATTTAAATTATAGATAAATGTATCATATTTAATATAAAATATAAATTAAGATGGTTAAAACTTGTATTATTTTAAATAAAATTTATGAATATTACTTATTTTTGAATTTTCTTATCATCCCCTTAAAAAAAATAAGATAAGATCGTGCCATGAATCTCCGAAATATTAAATGCAATATATTATTAGACTAATTTGAATTAATTTTTAAAAAAAAATGTGATGATTAAAATATGATATAATTATAATATATATGATATTTTAATTAAACATTAGTAATATAAATTTATTTTTTTTGCAATATTTAATGAACCTAAATTTATCTTTTTTTATATTTATAATTTATTTATCAAGTTGTATAAAGGACGAGTATAGCCTATAGGTGCAAATACTCAAATTCCGTACCCATTATGGGTGAATTTTTCGAAACTCATACCTGCCTCATTAGTACAACGTGACCGGGATTAACCGGTGAATTCAGGCGGAACGGAGCGGGTTAAATTGTCATACCTAGATAAAGTTCAAAAGGTATAGCAAAAGGCAAGTCATCCTTATTTTCGAGGCGAATTTTTTTTACATAGAATTGCAGTAAAAGTATAGGGTAAATTACGGTCACCCCTGAGCTAAGGTCAAATTACGAAGAAAAAAACCCTCAAATTTGGATAATTACAACCACCCCGCTCAACTATGAATTTTCTTACACGGTCATCTTTACGGTGTTAAATTTAGTTGAATCTTCTAGATTATGTTCTCCAGTTTGTACGCATTTTTACCCCATTTGAACTCCACTTTTTGAAACAAGATGATCATTATATGTGCCTTTTGACTTGGAAATATCAGACTGTGGTGCATATCGCACATAACGAGTACAAACTAGAAAAGATCAACGGAATCTAGAAGATTATGTTGAATTCAACACCACAAGGATGGGGGTGTAAGAAGATTCATAATTGAGAGAGCGATTGTAATTACTCAAACATGGGAATTTATTTTTATAATTTGATATTACCTTATGGGTGACCGTGATTTACCCAAAGTTGTATCATCTTTTACATGGCACTTATTAATATGTGGTTATGCATTGAACTTTAAATGCTCTATTAGGCCATCTCCAATAGTTGTCTAAAATCTAATTGTCTATATTTATAATTTAAGAGATGAACAGTGTTATGCAATACCACTTTTAACATCACCCACCTCCAACAACATTATTTATATTTTACACAATTATCATATTTTATTATTTTACAACATTTTAGTTTTAAATTATTAATTATTAAATATAAATGTTTTTATCACTATACGTATATTAAAAAAAATTATATTAAAAAATTTAAATACTCCTTGTTTTTATACATTGAAAGTTGAAACATAATGTGTGAAAAATAATCTGTAAATTTAATTTAAAAAAACAAACCAAAAAAATTGCCAATAACTCTCATTTTTCTAATTAAAAAAAAATAGGCACTAATACATTGTTTAAGTTAATATATATAAAAATAATATTGATGGACCAAAAAAGTAGCCTAATAACTCTCCTTTTCCTTTGGGTGGTGATATACGCAGGCCAAATTAAACATTCAGGCACTTTTTTACCATGGTTTTTTACCTTTTTACCATAACTATTTACCTTTTGTACTATTCCTACCAAATCCTATAAAATATAAAACTCAACATTCAAAGTGAAAAATTTCAGATATTCAACAATTTTTGCGATGGATCCAAACAACTTAGACCCGAATGTAAGTTTTTCGTTTTTTTCCCGAAAATTCATCTACTCGTGCGAATTTACGTGAGCACTTGCCAAGTGCTCGTGTAAATTCACACGAGTAGATGAATTTTATTTTTTATTCATGTGCTCGTGTGAATTTACACGAGCACTTGGCAAGTGCTGCACGTCAATTAGCACGTGTTCAAGAATTTTTGGTAAAATTACAGGAAATCTTCATTTTTGGACGAAGTGGTCTGGGTATACTGCGGAAACTGTTCGTATATCAGCTTTCTTTCACATTCCACTGAGAAGTTATACTCATTTAATCGGAATGCACAGGGCTAGATCGTATCGGTACATATTTTACGCTTCTCAGGTAATATACCCTGGTTTGTTATGCTTAGCGGTTCTTCCAATCAAGGTAATGAAGAACTTGTTATTCTTAACTCTTGGGCTCAGGAATTCCTATATAACTTAAGTGATACAGTAAAAGCTTTTTCGATTCTTTTATTAACTGATTTATGTATCGGATTTCATTCACCACACGGTTGGGAACTAATGATTGGTTCTGTCTACAAAGATTTTGGATTTGTTCATAATGATCAAATTATATCTGGTCTTGTTTCCACTTTTCCGGTTATTCTCGATACTATTTTTAAATATTGGATTTTCCGGTATTTAAATCGTGTATCTCCGTCACTTGTAGGTTTATTTTATCATTTCAATGAATGAATTGGAATAAAATGTAAAATGAATCCAATCGGAACAATGGAATCCTAAATCCCAATTCAGGAAATGGTTTTCTTTAACTTTTGTCCTTTTGGTAAGTTTCTTAACAATAAAGGGATTTAAAAAAACTTTTTCTTATCCCAGGGGGGAATTTTTCCATTCCCTATTCGG